AAATTAATATTAATGTGGTCATTATATGAACAACCAAATATTTGGGTGACATGACTAGATTCTTTGGCTAATAATGTTCATAATGATCGCATAAAATATTATGGTAGACCACATCAAATATTACAGTAATTTGATACGCTCAAACAAAATTTAACTAAAAGAGCCAGAATTTTCGATGATTGTAACCATATTAAGTTGTTAAATATGCCTTTGCCATTTCTAGTAAAATATTATCTGCTTGATATGTCTTGGTAAACTTAATCATATATTTTACTTGAAGACGATCAGCTAAAATAAAACATGACTGGAACCTCTAAAAGAAATATAATTAATTACCATTTAGTCTCACCACATATTCTTAGAAAAATTCTTCCTTGTATTAGTTTCCCGGTTAAAGAGAAACTTTGTTTCGTCACAAAATGTGTTACTAGGATCCCCCGTTGCGACTTCACTCGCGATATGAGCAACGTATCGATAAAATATTATAACTTCACTTCGGAAAGAAGCTCAATGGCCACTCGCCATCAAGTAGATACACTAGGAACTTCCCTGACTAAAATATTTTATTAGGAAACTCGGTAAAGTTTCGCACCAAATATACACGCTTTCATACGTACATATACGTATGCGCAAAGGTATGTGTATGCGTGAAATGCCACATAAAATTAACTAAAACGCTAGAAAATTCCCTGACTAAAATATTTTATCAGGAAACTCGGTAAAGTTTCGCGCCAAATATACACGCTTGCATATGTACATATACGTATACGCGAAGCCATGTGTATGCCTGAAATGCCACATAAAATTAACTAAACGATTTCACTAAAACGCTAAGAACTTTCCTGACTAAAATATTTTGTGAGGAAACTCGGAAAAGTTTCGCGTCAAATATACACACTTGCATATGTACATATACGTATACGCGAAGCCATGTGTATCCCTGAAATGCCACATAAAATTAACTAAACGATTTAACTAAAACGCTAGGAAATTCCCTGACTAAAATATTTTATCAGGAAACTCAGAAAAAGTTCGCGCCAAATATACACACTTGTATACGTACATATACGTATGCGCAAAGGTATGTGTATGCGTGAAATGCCACATAGAATTAACTTTACGATTTAACTAAAGCGCTAAGGACTTTCCTGACTAAAATATTTTGTCAGGAAACTCGAAAAAGTTTCGCGCCAAATATACACACTTGTGTATGTACATATACGTATACGCGAAGCCATGTGTGTGCGTGAAATGCCACATAAAATGAACTAAACGATTTAATTAAAACGCTTTAGTTGAGTGAAGCAAATGATTTTGATCAAATAGACTAAAATTCGGTTCACTTAGTCAAAACGTTTTCTGAAATTAACCAAATGCAGTCAATCGGACGATTTTATTAAATGAACCAAATTGTTTTTTCTGCATGTATTTTACTTTATTCATTCTTCTTAGATTTCCCCGATTGCCCTGTTGCGATCATTTCAAACGGTATCGTGGAGGTTATCGTCATCGTTTAAATAGACGCTCCTGTTACGAAACGAAAAAGATATATCGTTTAATTTTCTACGTTTTCCAAATGTATATGCATAAAAAAAAATTAGATTCATTTAACAAAATCATTTTATTTACTGCATTTAATTAATTTCAGAAAACGTTTTGGTTGAGTGAAACGAATTTTAGTTCACTTGACGAAACTCATTAGTTTCGATCAACTAAACAGTTTTGGTTAAATTGTTTTGTTAATTTTATGAAATATTTCAGTCAACGAAGTTCTCAGCGTATCCGCTTGGTGGCGATTGGCCATGGAGTTTCCCTCACAAATGAAGTCATGGATTTTTTGTCGATACGTTGGTCATAATCCAGCCTCACGAGGGATGAAGAATAGGATAATACATTTTTAGCGAAACAAAGTTTCTCTTTTACCGGGAAATCTTTCATAAAAGGAACATTCTTCTGGAAAAACATACAGGGAAATTAAAATAGTTTTAAGCGTACCAAATCACCTTAATGTTTGACGTGATCTTCCATAATATTGGCTGGGATCAACCAAACGTTATTAACGAACAAATTTAGTCACGTCAGTTAAATATTTGGATGCCCATATGAGCCCATAATTATGAAAGTGGTCTAAGTCAAAATTAAAAAAAAATAAGTTTATCAATTATTTCACCCCGCATTATTTTAAACTACATTAATTCAATGTAATTTTTACGATATTGTCAAAAATGAACCATTAGAGAGTGGTTGTAATTTCGACATTATATGGAATTCATTTAGTGTTAATTATGGAAGTGGTCTAAGTAAAAAATTTAAAGAAATTATATAAACATAACCTTAAAATGGCACGTGGTCCTCTTTGGTGCGTTTTTGAACTACACAATAAGCCGACAAATGACAATCAAGCGATAACAGAAACGACAATACTTTCCGGTCTACCTAACAATATATGGAATTCATTTAGTTCTGTTTTGAAAGTGCATTAATTTAGTCGGGCTCTTCCGAACTAATTATTGGCGGAAAAATAATTTATATATTTTACCACTAGGTCAACGGATAGTGGTTCAGGTAAGTTAATGACAACGTACTTATTATGTGAATATGTTAATGATTATTCGGATATAATGTGATTTGCAGATATTATACGACCGCGTAATACTTCTTTAGATGATTCTAAATTCCACGTTTTGGATCTTTCACCTAAAAGAGGAAGGCCAAAAATATACGGAAATATTAAATTACTTCCATTATACCCTACCACTAGACCAGTGACGGAACAAAAACATAAAGATATTATGTGTTCACTACCATACATCCCTCCAGTTTTTCAGGAACATTTAGGAATCTTAAAAGCTCATAATGACAAAAGCCTAAAATGATAAAAATGGAATACTTTTTAAAAATAATTAATAAACGTTCATGAATTATTTAATTAAAATTATTATTTCTAATAAAACTCGTAGTTTTTTTATTGCTTTGTCATTTATAGAACATTCAGTTAATTTTGAAAATGGTCTAAGTCAATTCAAACTTTAAGAACAACATTTTCGTATGAAATTCACCTCAAATTTCATATTCATAATAAATTTCCATTAATCAAGACTGATGAAATTCTAAATTAAAATGTCGCATAATATAAAAATATTTTTTAATTTATTCAAACGCAATTCATTAAATATCTCGAAACAAGAAGTATATGACTTAGACCACTTTCATAATGCTGGACACATATAATGACCATATTCCGTGGTTGAACCAACATTAATTTTATTGATTATTTTTGCCGTTGGGCATAGATGCTCGAACGATTAGCGTTCGAAAGATCGGCCAGCGATTCTCTCCGAATAAAAAAAGCTAGTTGAACGTTTCCGCAATTGCGAGCAAAATTAATTTGTTAGGTCACGGGACGTTGAAATTTCAAAAGCAGGTTCACAGTCAATGGTGCGGAGCGACGAGGCATCGAGTGGTGGGGTGGCCAAACGACCCAAAGCGAGAGAAACGCATGAAGCGAATCGTCGGCCGGAGAAAGACGGAGAGAAAGACGGAGCGAGAGAGGGAAAGAGGTAGACAGCCGTTAGGTAGAAGAGTGGCGGCAGAGTCGGGAGGAGGGGTCGCCGAGTCAGTCCAGGGAAGGGCACGGACGGGGCCTAAAAGGGGGCCGGGACGCGGAATCCGAATTATCCCGGAACCTCGAGGACAACGCGGAACGTTGGAAAAACCTCCCGAGTCCCATCCCGGTGGCGCGCGGCCCGCCACGCGCCTTGTCCTAGTCGCAGAGAGCAGGAGCCCAGCCGCGCGATCGCTCGGGGTTTGGATTTCTCGCTCCTCTTTCGAATTGCCGACCCGGGGCAGGGGTCCGCGGGAAAAGGCGCGAGCGGGGCCCCTCTGGCGCGCGGCGCGGCCCTGGGCAAACTGACCGCCGACTCCTGTCGACTCGTGTCGTGGAATCGTGCGGCTCCGGGGGATCGGACCTCTCTCGCGGGCCCGCTGGTCAGTCCGGTAGTCGAAGCCGGTCCCGGCCTTAGCGGCAGTCGGTAGTTGGCCTCCACTCGGGCGGGAACCAACCTAATCGCGCTCTCACGCCAAGTACAAGGTCCCCGAGATTCCGCGGGCTGCCGTTGGGCGCTTACGTGGATCCTCGGGATCTCTCATCGCGGCGAGTCGACAGGAGACGACACGTGCCATCAGCCGCGGTCGGTGCGCGGTCAGTCCGTGATCGGTCCGCGCGCGCGAACGCGGGGGCCCGCGAGAGCCCGCGAGAGCCCGCGAGAGCCCGCGAGAGCCCGCGAGAGCCCGCGAGAGCCCGCGAGAGCCCGTCGCGGGGAGGGAGGAGCGGAGTGCCGCCGCCACCGCCACCGCCGCCGCCGCCGCGGCCCAAGAGGCAGACCCTCCGGAATTCCGCTGCGAGTCGGTTCGAACGCGAGCTGACCGCGGCCTAGCGAGCGAACCGTGAATGGTGAGCGCTCGGTGCCAAGTGCGGAGCAGCGTCAGCCCGAGGTGCATGGACTCCGCGGGAGAGATGCCGTGGCTCTTGGCGCCTGGGACTCGCGAGTAGATAGGTAAGGCCGCGCACGATTCGGTCCGGGCGGAAGTCCGCTCTTTCTTCCGCTTGGTTTTTCTCCTCGCCGTGAACGGTTACTTTTGTGGGGTCGCGGGACGTATTTCTGTTCGGATTCTTCCTTCCCTCCCCCCCCCCCCTCTCCGCTTTTTCGCTTTCCTCTCGCCCCACCATCGTGGACCGCGGGGTCTTGTTGTCGCGAGCCTGATTATTTTCGACGATGACGCGCGCTCGCATCTTCCATCGGCGTGGATTCCAGCGACCTTATCCTTGCGCGACCAGCCACCGCATTCCTCCGTCTAGAGCCGCGAGTTAAGTGCGCGCCATGCTAATTGAGCGCGGTCGCCGGACTATACGGGCACGGATGCGCATGCACCGACGTCACCGGACGCGCACCACGCAGTGCGACGGAGACGCGATGTTCCTGGGACGTCGCCGTCGTCCGAGTGGCTGTACGCCCGCGACGGGCTAGAGGAAAAGAGCCTTACTCGTACGTCGTCGTTGGTGCGTTTGTTGGAACTGTCGTTGGTACTTTTCAAGGAGAAGAGAAGAGATCGAGATCAATTTCTTAAGCGTCGATGCGTTCCATCTTCCGGTGACGTCCAGATTGTTCCGCGATCGATTGAAACCTTCCAAACTCCAAAGAAACCATGGGAGCAGAGACCAGTTTGCCGTAGAAATAGAGGACGGTTTTTTCCAGTTTGCAACGTGAAAGATCGAATCCTGGGGCTGAATTCCTGATCTCTGGGTAGTTATGTCCACTTATTGGAAGTAAAGGGAACGCGTAAACGCAGGTAACGGCCTCCTTGTAATGCGCTTTTCATCCGCACCCCTTGGTCCCCGCAGCTTATAGAATCCAATCAAGGAGAAAGATTTGGGCACAATTCGGTGGACCTATGCGTCGGATGATCGCGAGGTGTTTGTTAGGGATACGCGGTTATTCGATTTCCGAGGTGGACGCCTAATATTATCGTCGGCTTCCACGATTAGCGATGAATGTCGCTGACGTGAGGACCGAGCCGAATGTGGACTCGAATTTGGACGGGTTTGAGATCACGAGGATGAAACGTGATCGGATCGACCGCTCGCTGACCGGCCGACTCGCGTTATCGAAGAGAGTGGTTATTTCCAAATTGAGCGAAGCCGAGTTTGAGAAAGACGGTAGAAGAGCGTCTCTCGAGTAAGGACGGTGCATATTTATTTTTTAAACGACGGTTCCCAATAACGAAAACTCGTTTTCTTTCGTTTAATGCAATTTCTTTCTTCCCTTTTTTGGTTTTTTTCGTTCATACGATTTCTGCCCGAACCTCCTGCTACTGATATATTGTTTACACGTTTTGCAACAAGAGAAGAGTAAGCGAAATTGTTGTTAGGCATGTATGAGGTTCAGTCACAATTGTAATTTTATATCCTAATACAATAGCGTACGCTTTCGTTCCTTCCTTTTTCAATGGTCTCTGTTCGTGGTGATTTCTGCTTAGTTTTCTTTTCAATAAATTACATCCTCGGAATTCACTATCTCATGATCGGGGCGGAATTATTGGATCCGATTAATTCCGAATGCACTAACATGAGAACTTTGTGGTACCGTTTAAAAAATAATTGAAATTATTATATACATTGTAAGGTTGATTAACCGAAGGCTCACGGGAACTCCCAGGTGACCTGAAAACAACGTTTGGCATTGTTCTGTAAAATACTTTAACTACTTAATGACGTTATCGCTGCAAAAGGGGACGCGTAGGTTAATCGAGAAATAATTGCCGTTTAAGATAAAGTGAAACCCCCCTATAATCAATTCATTTAAATAAGATCCTTTTTTTTAAGGGTATTGGACCGAACTGTTTGAAACTTTGACGCATGCCTCGCCAGCACTTAAGAACTATCCCAACACTTTTAAAATTTGGATTTTCGAAAACACATTTTGGCTTAGCCTGAACCAGAACCAAAACGGCGTCGACCTCTCATATTTCGATCAATATACAGTTGTTGAAGACTCCGATATGAGAAACGAAGGTGTCAGAGTAATTGTACAACAATTTAAAAACACTCTGGTAATCGAGAAAGTCGCATTTGAACGGGATAAGGGCAAAAAAGTGTTTTATGCGTTTCTATACTAAAACGAAATTAACACGAGGTCTCGGAGAGAAAATTTGTTTGACACTGAATTCACAGATGGCGCAGAGTGGCACTCTGCAGTCAATTGGGACATCAAAAACAATGAATCCGGGGGATGTATGGAGTATTACTTCGATTTCTTTGTAATTATTGTACGGAAACGACATTTGAAGTAGGTATGTCATTTGGTACATTATTCAATATAATTCGATACAGTTGTCGATATAAATACGAACGCCAGTGACGGAGGTATTTAGAAGAATCTTTTGTACCGAGGTCAATCAAATGTCTCGACGTGTTTCACTTCACCTTAAGAGCAGATTAGAAACGAACACGATCATCCATAAGTCGGAGTGTTTAATGGCAGATCAAAAAAAATACGTGTCGCTTAGTTTTTAGTCTACAATAACATATTATAAAAGAAATCAAATCAGAGAGATTGCCCTGGGATACCTTCCTTGTTAGCCTAGACAAGAAACACACTGACGACGAGCTCTCATATTTCAGTAGATATAAAAGTATTGAAGGCTCCGATATGAGAAACGAAGGTATCAGGACAATTATACAACGATTTAGTACACTATAATAATCGATACATTCGCATTTGAACGGGATAAAGACAAAAAAAGTGTTGTATGCGCTTCTATGCTAAAACGACGGGAATACGAGGTCTCGGAGTGAAAATTTAATTGACCTGGAAATCACAGATGGCGCAGGGGGTCCCTCTGCAGTCAATTAGGACCCCAGAAAGCATGAATCCAGAAGATTTCTGGCATTTTAATTCGATGTCTTTATAATCATTGTACGGAAACGATACATGGAGCACGCCATTTAGTACAATACCCAATATAATTCGACCCAGCTGTCAATATAAGTACTAACGGCCGCAACGAAGGTATTTAGAAGAATCTTTTTTACCTACGTCGATCAAATGTCTCGACGTGTTTCACTTCACCTTAAGAGCGGATTAGAAACGAACACGATCATCCATAAGTCGGATGTACCCGGGTTTCATACCCTCATAATATTTCATCATTTCATACTCTCGTGCACATAAGGTTGATTCGTGAACAAGGTACCCTTTGCTTTTGCGCAATGGAAATATTTCGGCCAATTATTTGCACCCTGTAGCGGACCAACAACCTTCGCGTTAAAAAAAAATCACGCTCTCACTCGAACGGGTTCTCAAGGAAAACCGAATTTTATGAAGGCTTTCTTTATCGGGCAGAATTTCATGTCAAACGAATTCACGACGACGCTTTTACAGCTCCAACATTAAACCTACCGACGATTTATACCCCCATTACAAATACCATTTAAAACGGTCAGTTTGACCCGCCGGTGGTAGGTTTAGTGTTAAGGTGGCATGAAAGGGTCATTCCATGTACCAAAACGTCAAAGTATTTATAAAACTTTTCTCCAAACTGGGTGCACCGAATCATTTGAAGCTTCAGCAAGTGATAATGAAGACCCTAAGGAAGAACGCGATGCTCGTGCAATTTTAGTTTTCGGAAAAGTTTTTTTTTATAGCTTTTACAGCTACTTAAGGTAATATGAAGGGGTCATAACATGTACCAAAACGTCAAAGTATTTATAAAACTTTTCTCCAAACTGGGTGCGCCGAATTATTTGAAACTTCAGCACGTGATAACGTAGACCCTAAGGAAGAACACGATGCTTGTGCGATGCAGTTTTTGGAAAAAAGTTTTTTTTTTTGTAGCTTTTACAGCTACTTAAGGTAATATGAAGGGGTCATTACATGTATCAAAACGTCAATGTATTTATAAAACTTTTCTCCAAACTGGGTGCACCGAATCATTTGAAACTTCAGCACGTGATAATGTAGACCTTAAGGAAGAACGCGATGCTTGTGCGATGCAGTTTTTGGAAAAAAGTTTTTTTTTGTAGCTTTTACAGTTACTTAAGGTAATATGAAGGGGTCATTACATGTACCAAAACGTCATTGTATTTATAAAACTTTTCTCCAAACTGGGTGCACCGAATCATTTGAAACTTCAGCACGTGATAATGTAGACCTTAAGGAAGAACGCGATGCTTGTGCGATGCAGTTTTTGGAAAAAAGTTTTTTTTTGTAGCTTTTACAGTTACTTAAGGTAATATGAAGGGGTCATTACATGTACCAAAACGTCATTGTATTTATAAAACTTTTCTCCAAACTGGGTGCACCGAATCATTTGAAGCTTCAGCAAGTGATAATGAAGACCCTAACAAAGAACGCGATGCTCGTGGTTTCATTTTTTCAAAGTAAGTTTTTTTTATTTAACCTAGACTAGAACGAAGATTGCACCTTTTTGTGAAAAATGAAATTTTACGAGCATCGCGCTCTTCCTCAGGGCCTTCATAATTCCAATGAAGCTTCAAATGATTTCGAGCACCCAGTTTGGAGAAAACTTTTATAAATATTTTGATGTTTGATGTATATAGAATGACCCTTCCGTATCACTTTAAGAATATGTGCAGAATACGCCGACGAGAGCACACGAGCGTCAAGTAGCGAAAAGCAACCAATGATATCGTTGAATTTTATCGAAGTGAAAAAAAGAGGGATAGAAAATTCGTTTCGCTCATTAATTGCTGCTTGCAACTCGTCCCTTTTTCACGGAAGTAGGATGTATGAACCCGAATGCCGATTCGACCCAAACGACAGAAACTTTAAGGTGAAGTGAAACACGTCGAGGAACTTGATCAACGTGGATAAAGAAGATTTTTCTAAATGCCTACGTTGCCGACGTTCGTTTTTACATTGACAGCTGTATCGAATTATATTGGGTATTGTCCCAAATGGCATACTACACCTGTCATTTTCGTGTAATAATTATAAAGAAATCGAAGTAAAACTCCAGAAATCCTCTGGATTCATGCTTTCTGGGGCTCTAATTGACTGCAGTGGTACCCCCGGCGCCTTCTGTGATTTCCAGGTCAATTAAATTTTCACTCCGAGACCTCTTATTCCCATCGTTTTGGCATAGAAGCGCATACAACACTTTTTTTGCCTTTATCCCGTTCAAATGCGAGTTTATCGATTACCAGAGTGTTCTAAATTGTCGTAAAATTGTCCTGACCCTTTCGTTTCTCATATCAGAGCCTTCGATAATTGTATATTGATCGAAATAAGAGAGCTCGACGCCATTTTGGTTCTGGTCTGCGCTAAGTTAAAAAGTTTTTTTGAAATATCCGAATTTTGAATGTGTCAGGACAATTCTTAGATAATCAGGAGTGATGTGTCAAAATTTCGGACAGTTTGGTCTAACACCCTTAAAAAAAAGTGTTGTATTCGAATCGACTGATTTAAAGGAGGTTTCACTTCACCTTAAGAGACAGAAAGCAAGGAACCCTCGTCTATTCTCTCCCTCGCTCTGATTTTGCAAAACAATTGCGCAGGGCAATATGGAAAGAAGTTATCCTACAGCAAGACAGAAAGAAAGGATTGTCCCTTGTTCTCCCTCTTTATTCTTCTCGGAATCACAAGCATATGAAGGGAGTGATAGGGTGTTCGGGATCCATATATTTATACGCTTGTTGCGCTCCCTATCTGAATCAGGGGATCTATTACGTAAAGCAAATTGAGTGAAAATGTGAAAAATGAGTAGCTCACGGTATTGCGGAACG